GAAATGAGGGAGAGTATGGATTAAACTCAATAAATAAGAAAACTTTGATCCCATTTTTATAGATCCTATAGATCTAATTCATATAATTTTCCCAACATACTGGCTTATGCATTTGGGAAACTAACAATATTTTTCTTTGAGGAGAAGAACAGTTGGATAGGTTCCTACATTTTTAGGGATATTTTTATTGTCTTTAAGGAGTTGCCATTCTAAAAAGCAGACGATGATTCCAGTATATCTTGATCACCATCACCCTATCAATCATTCTACTCCCTCTGCCCTAAATTTTGTTTAACTAAACCTCCTTCAACTGTGCTTGCTATTCAGTGAGCCAAATGTCTTTGAATTGCATTAGCAATAAAAAGAACTCTGCACCAGTTGCTTACCCCTGTAATCCTCGATATTCGGGAGATTGAGATCCAGAGAATGTTAGTTTGAGACCAATTTAGGCAGAAGAGTCCTAGAGACTTCGTTTCCAAAATAACCAACAAAAATCCAGCCTGAAAGCATGGATCAAGTGGTAGAGTGCCTGCTGAACAAGGCAGTTGCATGGGTGAGGTCCTGGGTTCAAACCCCAATAGTCATGCTCTGAAAAAAAGGAGAAATAATTGTTTACAAATAACGCTTCAGCAATGTCCGGTGACATATTTGTCATTCTTTTTACTTATGATTGAGAGGTTTAGTTAACCTTTAATTAATTACCCTGTAATCCGGCTCATTTGGGTAAAATCATTTGTAGATCAGTGAACATTTATATAGAATTTGAGCAAAGGGGGCTGAGGAACGTGGGGAGGAGTGACAGGCCTGAAGGTGCAGTCCTGCTGGGCACTCACGCGCACGTGACTCCGTCCACGCTTCCCCCCTACTGCAGCTCTACCACCCACCACCGCCTGGCAACCCCATCCACTCCACGCCACTGACACGCCTCACGTCCTTCTACCTTCAGCGTCATGTCTCCAAGCCTCCCTCAGAGTGAAGCTCCTCTGCACCAGCCTCCCTCCTCTACAATCTGTCTCGTCTCTTTGAACTGTTATAACGATGTACGTGAGCCAGGTAGCTACGAACAGCAGAAGGCATTGCTCATCATTCTTGAGGTTGGAAATGCCACACGAGGGCCCTGCGCAGCTGGGATCTGGTGAGGACCTGCTTCTGGTTCATAGGCGGCACCTTCCTCTGTCCTCACCTGCTGGGCAGTGGGGCTCTCCCTGGAGTCTGCTTCCCTCCTGACCTAACTCCTCCCCGCCTCCACTTCCTGACCCCATTATCTGGTGACAGTGATTCAGTACGTGAACTCCAGGGTGGCCCGGGCACCCAGACCACAGCGGAACCCAGGGAGGATTCCACTGTGTAGAGCCACATGCTAGCACGGTCTCCTGCGGCCAGCTCGACCCTGACCACACTCTGCAGGCCTCCCTTCCCGCCTCCTCTCCACCCTGTCCTGCCTGCATCCGTCCCAGCAGCCCACCTGCTGTCTTTCTGTTTCAAGTGTGGTTTTCATGTCCCGTTTCTTCTGGACTTACTCGCCATGTTTCTATCCAGTGACCCAGCATCGATCTCATTGCTTAAATCTAGCTCAGACTCTCAGGAAGCCTCCTGGCTGCATGACTGCCTCCACTCTGAACTTCTGTGTCCATGGCGTTGGGTGCTCGTGTGTCCTGTCTTGTAACACTTACTCCATGTGAATTTTGTGTCTGGAAACAATATGCTACGTTTCCCAGGTACTTAGAGTCTAAACACCAGGTGTTACACATTCGCAGTGATATTCAATTGTTACTTTAGACAAAGTAGATGGTCAATAAGTAATTGAATTAAAAAACACATTGATGGGAGATGCAGAACTATAGCTATACAGTACGAGATAATTGCAAAAGTGGTGTGGTTCCTTTCTCCACTAAGATGTGCAGTGGCTGTGATTGTGTCCTGTGCTGTGCTCACTGCTGTGTTGAGAGGGTCAGGACTAAGTGAGCCAACACTGCATTGCCTTTCACTTAATATTGATGCTAAGGTAGGAGTGTGGGAGATACTTTCAGTCCAAGTGAGCCTGATCCTCATATCCGTTACCTCCGCCAGCAGAGTAGATCTTCCTGTCTATCTCTATCTCCGTTCAAGGCGAGTGGCTCGGGGCAGCAGACGCTCCGTTTGGAACAGGACTTTCCTGGGTCCAGATCCTACCGAACCTTCCTGCTTCCTTCTTACTGGGCCTTTACCTTGGAGGTTGTAGCCTTCCATGGTCCAACCCTTGGGCTTCTGAAACTTCCTGTGACTGGAGAGACTTGGAAAAAATAGCTCTAGTGAAGTAAGCCGGGCTCAGAGAAGCACAGGCTGCATGGTTTCCCTCATTTGTGGGCGCAAGAATGTGCCTGTCAATTTAGACATAACACGCTGGGTGGAATGCAAGAGGTTGTAAATGAAGTAATTGAAATATAACAGACTCTGTGAAGAGCACGAATAGTATAATTCTTTAGAAATACTACGTCAAAGCCCAACAAAAATAAGTACCAGGAAACAGGACCTTGCAAGGGGGGGGGGGGAGCAAGAGGAGAGGAGAAGGAGGAATGGGGGGGGGGGGGGCGGGAGTAGAATGCCGGCCAGAATGCACTGCATGGGTCACGAAGTGAGGAGGATGAGGGGAGGGGGGTGGAGGCGTGTGGATGTTGAAGGGATGACACAGAGAGCAAGCTGCGCAGAACACACACAATGCCTTGTTAAATGCAAAAAAGGATTCCATTTACAGCCAAAACCATAAGGAAAACGAGGGGGGGAGGTGGGTGAGATGTTGATCAGGACACATGTATTCACTTAGCTGCTTTGTTAAACCGTAATTCCTTTGCACAACTACTTCAAGATAATAAAAATATTTGAAACTATTCAAAAAATGTTTCTGGAGGGGCCACTGGATCTCTGTAGGATTTATCTCGCACTGTAGTGTACTTGGCATTTCCCACTAATCCGCTTCAAACGCATGTCATTCTTAGGCAGAACGGCAGATGTTCTGTGGATGACGAGGCAGGTCTGTGTCCCTGGGGACCTCACTGACCCTGAAGGACGAGCCACACGCGGGGGCCATCCTCCCCCGGGTCCTCCTTCCCCATGCTAGCCCCAGGGCCCGGACCACTCCTCTCTGAGTTCTCTTTTTATTTCCTCTACAGGAACGTTGCTATGCATTCTTTTCAGGCTTGCTCTATATAAGAGCAAATTTGTACAAACATTCTGGTAGTTTCTCCACAATCTTCCTTCTTGAAAGCAAGTCTTATGGACTCCGCGTTTCCCAAGGTGGCATGGAGAAGGTTTCTCACAGCCTAACGGTGAGGAAAGGTGGTCCGTGCAGCATCTGCAGGAATTATGCACCATGGAGGTGGTACGCCCGTGCACGGGTGCCTCTTGAGGAGATGAGGAGCCTTGGTGGTTTTATCTCCTTCAAAGGGAAGTTGTTCGGAGGGAACAGGTTAAAAATTCAGAGCAATCAACGTGAATTAACTAAGTCCCTGGAAACAAAAGTGAAGGCCTTTGTTAGGTCAAAAGAGGGAACAGCACACAAGCGTGTGGACGTATTTAGTTTGCTTACCTGGGAATGCTTTCTCTTCTTTATTTTATAGGAGATATTGCTTCAAAGTAAATAAATAGCAAACCAGAGTTTGGAAATCCACCTAGGTGTTAAGAAGCTATCTTCTGAGCGGGGTTGGGAGAGAAAACCTGAGAGAAAATTAAGGAGGGGGCTGCACCGTTCCAAAAGAAACGTACTCATTACCTGACTTATATAACCTTCACCCCTCTGTGCATCACCTTTGCAATAAAAATGATAAAAAATGTTCTTGTATGATATTAATATTTAGTATTAATTTTTGAGGGGAAGGGCCTTTGAAAAACTCTTACATGAAACAAACATGCTTATTTTGTTGTTTTTTGGGTCCAGTCATGGGGCCTGGGCACTGTCCCTCAGCTCTTCAGCTCAAGGCTAGTGCTCTACCACTTGAGCCACAGCACCACTTCTGGCTTTTTCTGCTTATGTGATGCTGAGGAATTGAACCCAGGGCCTCAGGCATGCAAGGCAAGTACTCTACCACCGAGCCACCTTCCCAGCCCCGAACATGTTTATTTTGTATTTACTAATCTTTACCAAGCAATAGACTTAACTAAATTGCTTCCAATAACTTTTTTAACTACTGAAATTGCTTTGAGACTGATCTTAAATTAAACTAATATATTCGATTTGTCTCCCTTTTTTTTTGAAATAGCCTCATGGTTCATTTGCCAGCAGAATTCCAGGGCTTTAGAAGAGATTTGTTTTCCTGTAAAGTGTTTTAAGTGAGTCTAAAATTCTTAGGAGTTGTATATACTGATTTATTAATAATCCCTTAAATCATAATTTTAGAAGTAGAATATGTGCCTGGGGTAGATAAAATATTAAAATAGAAAAATCCTTCTCAGCTGATTTCTTATTTCTGAATTGTATTTTCGATCTGGTAATGAAATGTAAGTAACTGCCGAATATACACCTATTTGGTGGCAGTTGTGATTTTCCTTTGGACTTCAAGGAAGTTCAGTTTTATATGTCATTGAAATTAAATCCAAGCGATGCTGATTTTAAACCTTAAAGCGCTAGTCCTAGGGGAAAATAAGAATATAGTGTCAACACAGTAGCTGCTTTCAAGAAGATGACAATTGATCAGCAGAGGAAAACACATCCAATGCTATGAGACAGTAATGGGTCAATGGAAATGGAGACGGTGGGCGGAACTTTAGTTGTTCATGGAGAATTGTGAATCAGGGAAGACTTGAAGAAAGAAATTATATTTGCCCTGAGGTGTAAGCAACGGATCGCTACATGCATTGATACTGACCTCTATGGTTTGTAGAGTCCCTGCAGTGTTGACAGGGCAGCCTTGGTGGAGGTGAGCTCACGTCTTGGCATCCGGGTCTCCTTCCAGAAGTCATTGCAAAGCACGTGCTGCCTATCCACCCCACAGGTCCCACAAGAAACCTCTCCCCTGTCTGTGCAGGAGCCCCGTGCTGGTCTTCCCGTGCAACCACCACCACGTCATCTGCTTGGACTGCTTCCACCTGTACTGTGTGACGAGACTCAATGACCGGCAGTTTGTCCACGACGCCCAGCTCGGCTACACGCTGCCCTGCGTGGGTAAGTCTGGCGCTTCTCTCTTCTCCATTGCTAATCGCGAATAGAAGAAGAACTGCCGAGGGAAAACAAGCCCTAGCTGGGGCGGTGCACATGTTTTTGGCCCTTGCTGAGTAAAAAACATTAATAGTTGGGTCACAAGGGATATAAAAACCCAGGAACTGCTGGGAGCTAGAAAATGCACAGCTTGCACGAAGGCAGTGAGAATATATTTGAAATATTATCCCGCCAGGTGCGGAGTGTCTGCGAGTTCACCTGCGATAGCACATTCTAGATGCTTTAATCCATTTCATCTTTAAACATGTTGAGCACGAATCCAGCATTGGTGAAAGAATATGCATGACAAAGAAAGTAAAAAATGAGCTAAAGATGAGTTGCCTAGCATTTAAGATATTGTTTTACCATTTAACAAACCTCTCCATATTTGCACTATACTATTATTACATCTGTAATTTTAATTGAGGTGAGATGTATATAATATATACTTAAGGGGGCTGGGATGTAGCTCAGTGGCAGAATACTTGCCTACCAAGGGCACGTCCTGGGTTCAATCCCCAGCACCAGAAAAGAAAAGACAAAAAACCACTTCTCTCTGGTCTAAAACTGTGTCTTCAGAAGAACATGAAGTGATCACCTGACTGTACCTTTGCCCCCAGCCCTGGCTACCACTAAGATGAGTTTTGCCTCTTTTGCATATTTTCTAAAACAAGACTCATACAATGTGAAATTTTGTTAGCCTTATTTCGCTTAGCTTGTATTTTAGGTCATCCACGTAGTGGCACGTGTTAGTTTTACTCATTTATGGCTGAATAGTACTCCGTTGCATGGCAATACCATGACGTTTACACATTGATCTATTGATGGACATTTGGTGGAAATTTGTGTTGTTTTGAACAATTTTCTGTTGTTTTGAACAGTGCTATTATACATATATGAGTTTATGTGTAGGTGTATGTTTGCCTTTCTCTGAGGTATATATCTAGAAGCAGAATTCTGTCTCTAAACATTTGGGGAACTGTCCACCTTTTTCCACAGCTCTCACGCAATTGGTATCTTTAGAACCTTACATGTTCATGGGTTCAACTTCTTTGTATTAATAGTGAATGAGGCAGGATATTAATGTATTTATACATTTATACATATAATGTATTTATGGTATTTTATACTGTATACTTGGTACTAGATTGCTTTTTATTTGTATTTATATTTTTTTTCAGTTGTGGGGCTTGAACTCTGGGCTTGAGTGCTGTCCCTCAGCTCTTCAGCTCAAGGCCAGCACTCTACCACTTGAGCCACAGCACCACTTCCAGTTTTCTAATGGTTTATTGGAGATAGTCTCACAGACTTTCCTGCCTGGGCTGGCTTTGAACTGTGATCCTCAGATCTCAGCCTCCTGAGTAGCTAGGATGGCAGGGGTGAGCCTCTGGCACCTGGCACTAGATCGGTTTTTGTGTGTGAATGTTGCTTCTCATCACTGGTTACTTGCACTGGAAATTTGCTTTTATTTTTATGAATGTCTTCTGTTGTTGAGAACCTGCTTTCCCAGCATTTCTTCCCCTCAGTGTTTAACAACAAGAAAAAGCATAAAGCCACAAATTCTTCATCTCACTATTCATAAAGGATGTATCCAATAGCCAGGAGGGGAGACGTGTTAGAAACAGCTGTGTGGGAACTATCTGCACTGTATAACCATTCAATTCTTGCTTCTTTGTCTCTCAACCTCTTAACGTGCATCTCTAAAAGTACTTACTCACAAAAAAATATTGCTCTCTTTGTCACAGTATTGATTATCATAGACTATTTTAGCCTTTGGAAAATTTACACTGACAGCAATTATAAATGCTTCCCCATTTCTGTGAAGGGAGAAGGCCGGGCGCTGGTGGCTCACACCTGTAATCCTAGCTACTGAGAAGGCTGAGGTCTGAGGATCCCAGTTCAAAGCCAACCCAGGCAGGAAAGTCCATGAGACTCTAATCTCCAAATTAATCAGCAAAAACATGGAAGTGGAGGTGTGGCTCACTTGGTAGAGTGCCAGCCTTGAGTGCAAAAGCTAATCAAGAGTGTAGAGCCCTAAGTTCAAACCCTAAGACTGGCACAAAAGAGAAAAGACAAGAAGAGGAAAGGAAAGAAGAGAGAGACTGAGCCTTTGTGTTGTATGAAACCAAACAGTATTGTCTTTAATATTTGCTCAAGAGAGAATTATTATTATTGTTGTTGTTATTGTTGCTTCAGGGCCTGGTCACCATCCCTTTGTTTTTCACTCAATACGGTATTTTGGATTACATAGCTCCTACAAAAAATGTCAAGTAAGCTTTATTTATAGAACCAAAAGCCATTGATCCTCTTAAGGACGAAGGCTCTGTCTGCCCACCTGCGATGGATGATTCTAGTACTAGAGAGAGAGCCCAAATCCTTTCCTTGACCTTTCTCAATGTAGGGGCTTGAATGAAGATCTGAATGGGGCAGACTCGTGGGTAAATATGTTCTTGGGATTTGCGTGGGTGTTTTACTCCCAGTTTAGCATAGGCTCAAGGACTTCGATGTTGGGACATGAAAACCAGTCATCCAGTGAGGGCAGCATGTGACCCCTGGACGGAAAACAGAGCGCAGCGCCAAAACAGAGCGTAGCGCCCGGGCACCTCACACACGGAGCTGCGCGGGGGCCACCCTCCCTGCCTGTGGGCAGGACACCGTGCTGTTCCCGCCCCTCTCCAGCCTGTGCCAGTCCATACGCAGCAGCCAGTATTCAGCATCTCCACAGGTTGGGCTGCTGTAATTATCTCTGCACACCAACCTTATAAGAACATCAATTTTTAAAAAGCACTATGGCTCTTAACTACATACCAAAAAATAGAGGCCACAAGAACCAACCAACTCGTTTTGTAAGTGACGCCAGTCTCACAGAAGTTAGAGCGCCATCCATACTCACGCTGCTAAGTGACCCACAGCCCACAAGGCTTGTTGACAGTATCTGCACACATCCATTTCTATGCTGGCATCCAGCACTTCTCATCCGCTACTACCAAAACATGGTGTAACAAGTCCTTTCACTCCTGCAATCGGCTTTCAATTCCTTCATGGAGACACTCTCCGAGCTCAGGTATCATCGTTTATGCTCTTCAAGGTATTCGTGGCCGTCCGTGAGCCAGTCTCCTCATTAACAAAATGGTTGTGATGAGTAATTAAAACTGATTTAAAATTATTTCCAAGTATAAACCCTGTTCTCCTAGTGTGAGCTCCTCGCTAAACCCCACATTTTATTATGCTTTCTAAATATGGGATGCTGAATTGTATTGCCCCAAGAGTCAAAAATGAATAATGACTATTGCTGTCACTGAGCGCAGAGAAGGTGCATTCTTTGTGCTTGCATGTACAAATCCATTGAGTCCCCCCAAGACACTGTTGGAAAAGATATTATTCTCCCCATTATACGAGCACACCATGGTTAATTAACTTGCACCTGATAACACAGCTAGTAAGGAACAGAGCTGGTATTCAAAGCCGGCCAGATGCAGCTCTGCAGCTGTGTTCTCAATCACTGTGGCAGACAAGCCTGCAAAGAGCAAAGTGTGATACCTTAGAAAGTTCTAAAGCCAAGAGGGCCAAAGGACAGATATCTCTACCTTCCAGCTCACTTCCATATTTAAACCAATTGTATACTTTTAGAGTAGAAATTTTTATTCCCATTTTACCGAGGAAGGAATAAGAATTAGTATGATAAAGTAACCAGGGTCTCAGAGTTAGGAAGAGCAAAGCTGACAGCTTAGTTTTATGCAAATCCTGGGGTTAAACTCAGGGCCAGGGTGCTGTCCGTGAGCTTTGTTTTTGTTCAAAGCTACCACTCTACCATTTGAACCACAGCTTCATTCCTGACTTTTTGGTGGTTAATTGGAGATAAGAATCTCATTCACCTGTTTGCCCAGGCTGGCTCCGAACCACAATCCTCTGATCTCAGTCTCTTAAGTAGCTAGGATTACAGGCATGAGTCACTGATGATGCCTGTGACTCAAGGCTGGGGTTTAACCTGGCTATGGCTGGCACTGATATCCAGCTCCTCCCACCAACTCTTAGCTCTAGATACACATTAGGCCACACAGAAGCTTTAAGGATTCCTGTGCCCAGGCCAATTAAATGACAGCCTCTCCAGGTGGGTGTGTGTTGGCTGAAGTTCCCAGGTTTAAAAGCTTGAGAAGGGCTGCAGGGGTGAGAATCCTACAGGCACAAGGACTTTTCAAGGGGACCATAGCATTCCTCAGTACAAAATTACCCCCATCTGTCTAGCTCCGTTTATCAGGGAATGGTTTGATTTGCTGGCCAGCACAGGTCTTTCAGAAAATGTTGCTGGAGTTAAAAATAGGATTGGCAACCACAGCAAATGTGTCTGAAAACAACCCGCTTCCAGAAGCTCAAACAAGGCCTTATAGAAAGATAGAGGCTTTGAGAAAAAACTCCATCATCATTTGGAAATCATTTTCTCTACTTGCTATTCTTACCACTTCTTGTTGGGAATTATTTTGAAATGATGAAGGACCCTCTCTAGGTGTGAACAGTGCTAACTCTGCAGAGCTTCATGAATTTAGGTTGATTTGTTGTAGAATGCTGCTCTGGAATTCATATCATGATGACTGCCACATGCATTGGCGTGCAGCTCACTCCCCATGCTGACAGCAGATTTCCTGTGTTCCTGGGGCTGCCGGGGAGGGACTCCATCTCTCCTGAGACACGGCTTCATATTGCCTCACTACTGACTTTTTAGATTTTGTTGTTATTTTCTTATGGCTTTTTAAAAAAATTTTTCAAGTCCCCATTTCACAAAATTCTAGTAAATTAGAGAAAATACCTGACATAAATACCATTGGGTAAAACGGTGTGTTTTGCTCACAGTTCCAGAGATTTCAGTTCTTCGTGGCAGGAAGATGCACTAAGGTCAAGCAGCTAAGCTCATGATGGCCAGGAAGCCGAGAGAAGGAATGGTTCAACTAGCGAGCTTCTTTGTTATTTTT